AACCTATGGATGTATACATACTTCACTTTTTGTCTGCAAATATCTGTGCCAAAACAAACCAGGCTAGATGTTCAGCCTGCAATGAGACAACGACAATATAAGGATGAGCATATGGCATTCAAATTCTTACATCCTAGCAGAAATCTACTATCTTTATTAATTAGTTTTGTTTTAATATGCACACTTCACTAAGCCAGCACAACCTTTAAACATTACTACCTTCAGACCACTGCAAGGCTATGTCAGCCTTTCTAGTAGAAAACTTACCTGCCAGAGATTGTGTTATCTGAAAAATTCCTCATACTAAGGAATTCATATTCTACAGTTGAAAACAAATTTACTGTGATTTTCTTCTTGCTTTGCATTAAGAGAGTGTTATCTGTTATTTTTTTTTGGCAAAGGAAAATGAGGTATTATTACATATACTTGATCCTTCATCTGGATTCCTGCCTTCTGATATTTAGATAAACGTAATTTAATACACCAGAAATATTTAATGTTTTACAAAGAGCTGCTGTTCACATTCAGCAAAACTTCTTTTGCTAACCTATGCGCAGATGGATTCTCGTATAAGAGGATGAGCAGCTGTTAATGTAGGCACACATTCAAGCACGCAGTTGTCTGAAATAGCAGCACTCTAGACGTTGAAAGTCAAGAAGGGCCAGCTCAGGTTGCAGGCCACCCCTGTGAGATGGTGTAATCACAAGCCAGTGAAATCCTTCTCCTGCTAGGAGGCTATTACTGGTCACTCCTCGCACTTCTTACAAGCATTGGGATTGGCCTTTAAGCAGTGATTCATGAAGGTATCACACTGCTCTGCCTCCCTTGCTGCTGTCTTGGCTCACTGCATTCATTTCCCTCCTATTTTCTGCTAACCATACACACCACACAACAAATTTTGTTCCAAACATCTCCTTGTTTCTCCTTATCCAGAAGGTAGTTTAAAATCACAAGCGAAAAGAATGTGTCACTTGAAGCCACAGTTACGACTTGTTCACACTTTGACTTCAAAAGGAATTCTGATTTGTTGCTTTTTAGTTATGGCAATTTCCAGTAGATTTCCAATTCCCTTGGCAGTAATGAAGAACAATAGTTTTGTCTCATCATAGTCATTAGGAAATATTGGTTGCTTAATGCTTAGTTACAATGATGATTTACAAACTAAATGCCTACCGCAGAGTCACATTTTTCAGGGTTCTGCACGCAGACTGCTTCAGCTGCAACATCAGAGCGTTAGTTCTGCTTTGCATAAGAGCACAGACTACACCAGATCAATGTCAGTCAGAGACTTTTAGTTTTCATCTCGGATTCCTCTGGTAGCGTGACCCTGGGAACACTTCGTTTCCTGGCAATAAAGAGCAAAGACCTACCAATTAGTTGCATTTGTTTCCTTATACTGTATATTTTAAAAGTGTTCCTCCTTTGAAGCGTTTGTAAGAGCAGTACAAAAGATGCCAGGCAACACAAAATTCAGCTGAAGTACTTAAATATGTTTAAGGTAACAGATGCATCATATTACCCTGCAAGTGCAGGTACAGAATTATTTGTACTGTCACCAGAAATCAATTTCATAATACTAATAGAGATTCGAGATTCATGGTTCAG